AGAACTATCATGTACTTTGGCGAATGCTCTAGTGTTTGCTAGATGGGGTAGGCGGATATATATAAGAGGGGACAACGTGACGCGGGAATGTAATGTGTGTATAGACAGTGTGTAATTGATCTGCAGTCAGAAGTATTATTGACGTTCGTTGATATAGCGTTTGTTTTAGCGCGATTGTTGAAGTTGAGTGTATCGGTAAAGTTATATTCGGAAAGAATAAACCAGTTTTATTAAGTAAAGACTTGTGTCGCTTAAGTTTCGTCGGAACGAAGTTACGGAAAATTAATTAACAAACGGAGACGGAACAATATAAATTAAACTTATAACTAGTTAACCTTCAATAACCTACTGTTACTTCTAAAGATTCTAATGTAAACTAGCCACACGGCCCTAAAATAACCCATGTGTAGAATGTATCCATTCATTTTAGTATCGTCACCGTTGACATTAGTTTAGGCCTTACTACACATCAACTTATGATTTTGTTACCCTTACTGTTGACATTAGTTTAGGCCTTACTTTTCATCAACTTATGATGTTGTTACCCTTACTGTTGACATTAGTTTAGGCCTTACTTCACATCAACTTATGATGTTGTTACCCTTACTGTTGACATTAGTTTAGGCCTTACTTCATCAACTTATGATGTTGTTACCCTTACTGTTGACATTAGTTTAGGCCTTACTTCACATCAACTTATGATGTTGTTACCCTTACTGTTGACATTAGTTTAGGTCTTACTTTTCATCAACTTATGATGTTGTTAACCTTACTGTTGACATTAGTTTAGGCCTTACTTCACATCAACTTATGATGTTGTTACCCTCACCGTTGACATATGTATCGATTAGTAATTTCGATTTCCTTGTTATTATTGGATATTTAGGCCTTATTTCAAGAAATACTAATGGATATCTGACCAGCTAATAAGAAAAAAAAAGTTTCCAAAGTGAGTAACTGATCACAACTCTTACAATCTAGAGACTATAATATTGTTGCGTCAGCGAAGTCACGTGACTAGTATCACGCCACCTGTTTTTAGAAATATCCTATTCCTTCAAGAATGCCCTAGCATTTACTAGATATGTGCTAGTCTTGTATATATAAGACGTTGACAACGTGACGGGACAACAGTGTAATGAGTAATTGAATGTTGGCCTCGTGAGACATGAATTATAGTGTTGTTAGAGAGCGACTGTTGAAGTTAAGTGTATCGTAAAGTTGTATTCGGAAAGAATAAACCAGTTTTATTTAAGAAAGGACTTGTGTCGCTAAAGTTTAGTCGGAAAGAATTTACGGAAAATTAACTAACGACTGGAGGCGTAACAATATTTTGTATAAATTTTGCATGTATAGATTTCTATACTTTCCCCCCACAAAGTAGCTGAAAGTTATTCATTGCATAAAAGAAAGATACTTAATGTGTAATCTGTTCAAATTCATGACAAAGAAACATATTGTTGCGTCAGCGAGGT